CGCGAGTTTCATAGCAATAAAAGGGGGTGGTAGGCCTACACGACTTTTACCTCATGCCAAAATGCTGCTTATTCCAATGAAGTTGTTTTTATCTGCTGGGTAGATTATGCTCTGGAAGGTTCTGCATTTTACTGAGCAAATGTGATTTTAGCCGCATGTTTCACACTGAGAGGTCATGACATATATATCGATTGACTGTAGTTATTGTTTTCTGGTCGGCAGGATTTGCCCTGTGATGCAAGCGCATATTCTTTGACCTCTTTTGAAGCGTAAAGCTTTTTTTATTACGGCTGAATAAGGGTTCCAATTTTCTCCAAAGTGCCTTCTGGATCTGATCTAAGCGATTTTCTTTAGTCCGTGAGTGTAATGTTTTTCTGCAATGCTGTATCACGCTGGGCCCAGCTCGTCAGTTTTCTTTGCAGAATGTGAAATTATCACGGATAGTGACTTACAGATCCAAAATTATAAGAGTGAAATGCAGCTTAAACTGAAGCTACATAAACTTACTATGGAGAATTGAATTGTGACTCAGTAAACTCCAGCTTAGTGTTTTTCTAAAGATAGTGTGAGGCTTTTGACTGGAGCGCGTAGTTCCTCCCTTGGTAATAGCTTTGAATAAGCTTAACAGTCTTTAAACTGTTTTGTTATTGCCACAGTTTGTGATCAGGCAAGACCATGGTTTCGGTTCTCCTCACGAACCTCATCAGTTGCCGGGTTGGCTTTGTGCTTAGTTGCTTTTAGAAGAGCAACTTTAGTTGTACTTTGTCGTAACATGTGGCTCTATGGATCTTGCCAAATAATGTCAACTTTACTTTTTAGCCCAAAAGACATTACATTTGTCATACAGCTTTAAGTTAAAAACTAAGTAAACCTTGGTTGAAAGACAAGTATGCAATTGTGTAATTAAATATTTGGCAGTAGAACCAGAGGGATGAAAGTTGAAAGGGTTTTGTATTTTCATTCAATTCAATTCTTTCTTGTACACTGTACTTTATATAAGTAGTAGGAAAAGAAAAATAGACAATGGAGTAATCATTAAGCTAAAAAGGGATTCAGTGGAACCCTGCCTTATAGCCACCTTGATCAAACTGTCACCTTGTTATTTCGGTCACTTTTTTCAGCAAAACGGCCATACATTTTGTTACAAAAACCCTTAGCTAATGCTGTCACCCATGAATGTGGCTCACCACCACATTTTAAAATCATAAGCGGTAAACTTTTCACCCCATTAACAGGGCCATTTGTTTGAAATTTACAAAATTGAAATGCCTGTGACATTCTTTTCAATGTCATTGACGGAGTAAGCTGAAACCTGTTCTTGTCTTCTTTTTGGACAACAGTAGAGGCCTTGATTCGTGAAATTCGACCCTGCTCTGGAAATTGACAGGCGTTTTTTTTTCAGGAGGGGAGGGCACACTGGAGACTGCATTAATGGTGTACATACGTGAACAATGTCCAAAAGAGCAAGACCAAACTACATAGTTAGGATAGCATTTTTACTTCTTCTTTATGATGTCGGTTGACACCTGAGACCAAGTGGAACAGTAATTGCCTGATATTTGGACCAGGAAATTTAAAAGACATAACAAAATTGGTGGATACTGCTATTCATCTAAATAAATCAGTTTACTAGCAAATCTTTTATTATAATTGTGTATATAGTCATATCTTGTGGTTGCAGTTCAATAGTTAAGCTTAACTTAGATTATTAGTTCAATTATTGTTGAGTAAACTTAAGCTTATAAGTAAATAAAGGCTATAATAAATCTATTTTTTTACCTACCTCTTTTAGGATATTATTTCTTTTAAAGCAACCTCTCAAACGCCGGACGAGGTAAATAAAGTCAATAAAGGGTGGGAAAAAGAGAGTTGTTGAAACTCATAATTAGATGTACACGTCTTTTCCAATATGGCGGTGGAGCTTGGGGAGGGTAACCCGTGGGGAGAGTCGAGCGATCCCTGGGGACGAGAGGCGACGAGATAATAACATTTCCGTTTCTTTTTCCTTTGAAAAATATACCTTTTTCCGTACTTTGAAGATGTTCTCTACCTACCCTCTCCCCCCCCCCCCCTCCCCCCCCCACACATTTGACTATCCAACGATCGAGTCCGATGTACCGAGAAATCGGACTCGATTAAGTTTCCCTCTGACCGGATAAGAAATCGGGCCCGATTTAAAACAAGTCGGACCCGATTAATTTAAATCGAGTCCGATTACTTTGTCGGGCCCGATTTCACAACAATTCGAGCCCGATTAGTTTTGGGATCCGATCCGAAATATATCGGACCCGACTACAATTCGGACCCGATTTGTTATCGTGTTCGATTAAATGAAATCGGGTCCGAGTTAATATTCGGGTCCGACTGAAAAAAGTGGGACCCGATTACCCAGAAACCGGTAAACATCTTCTATCGCACTGGCGGTTCCGCCGCCAAAATTTCCCTCTGACCCTGAATCGTCCTCAGTAGTTTTTTTTATCAAAAATGTATTTCAGTGAAAATTTCTCGTGATATGTGTAATAAACAGTTCACGTCATAGAAAGTGCTTTGTACAAGGTCGTATTCATGACTTGTTTGTGTCAAAAGCCCTCACTCGCTCGTATCTCGCTCGTTCGGGTTTTGACACAAACAAGCTCGTGAATATAACCCCGTACAAAGCACTTTCTATGACGTGAACTGTTTATTACACATATCACGAGAAATTTTCACTGAAATAGTTTTCTTAATGTAACATATAAGCTTATTACCTAGAGCAAATCACAAATACTGAGATGCAAATGCAAATTTAATAGTAATGGCAAATCTCGCAGCACATCCTTAGTCCTCATCGTGCAGAACAGAAAATGCACTTACAAAAATTTAATCCAGTACGACCTTACAAAAGACAGACCTCAGCGATGTGGGCTCGTTTGAGGAGTTCACGCTCCATCTGATTGCATCATAAGTAATCAGGGCAAGAAGGAAGGAAATTCAAAGGTTTTTGTTGGAATTCAAAGCCCGCTATTTCTTCCTGAATTCATATATTTGATACTTTCTCTTTAAAAAGAGTAACTTACGAGTTCAAAGAAACAATACACTAAATCTGGAGTGTAAACAGAAGCAGTCCGTGATCAGTTTTTAGAAAACCTTGATTTTCCCATACAATTTTCTGTGATTCTACAGTATCAAAATTACAGAAAATGTATGGAAAAATTGAGATTTTCTAAAAACTGATCACGGACGTCTTTGCACTCCAGATTTAGTGTATTGTTTTTTTGAACTCTTAGTAAGTTACTATTTTTAAAAGAAATAAATTTTTAAAGCTGAAGTATTTTGTCCAATGTAAAGAAATAAGGACTTGGGAAAGATCATCTTGGAGGGAAACGGAAAGATGAGAAAAGGAAAGAGGAGGACCGATAAAGTAGTGGGGAGGGGACATGTCACTAACAGAAGTAGGAAGATTGGCAATTGATAAAAACTGTTTCCGCTGGGCGGTAAAAGATGCAACGTCCTATGAGATAAGCAGTTAGAGTGAAAATGTGGGCGTGATTTTAATTTCGGACTGGATCGTGTCGAAAGGTTTTTATATCGAATCGACTGATGTATCGAAACGCCCAGTAACCTTTATTAAGATTCATCTGAACGAAAAAATGAGAGCTCGTTCAAAGAAGGAACTATACTTGAGGGTCTGGACAAATGACCGAAATTTTAACTGACAACTGACATTTGTACCCCCCCATCCAGACCCTCATACTTGGACACACACTTCAATACTCACACGAGTGTAGCTAAATGTCGTGGGTCGTGGGTAGAGGGTAGAGATCGTGGGTTGTGGGTGTGGGTCGTGGGTCTTGGGTGTGGGTAAATGTCGTGGGCAAAAAAAAATTGTAAAATAGAAAAAGATAAAGTAAAGTAATTGAAAAAAAGAAGCAAATAGAAAAAAATTGTAAAATATTTATGAAACGAAAATCTCTAACTCCTTGATTGCCTTTTTCGTCACTGCTTCTTCTTCGCCCTCCTCCTGATATTTCCTAAGCTACGTGGGACTTGGCTCCCCTTTCACAACATTACTGTATAAAAGACATGTTGCCGATGAAGATTTATCTATACCTGAGCTATCGCCGCGAAATAAACGAAACAGACGTAAATTATACCTACAATTTGCATAAAGTATGGCTCAAACTCGCTGAATGGAAACAGCTGCTCACTATTAATCTTTATTCCATCTGCAATTCCAATGATCAGCGGAGATTTTTTAACACGATGGAATGCAATCACCATGAGAAAGGGGAGGGGGAAAAGACAATTTTGAGGTATTTCATATTTTTGGATAGATTAAGTCTTTCTTAAAGAAGTTTTAGGTCTGCTACCCTTAAGAAGGAACCACCTTCATTCCCAGCCTTTCAAGTTAAGCGAGACTGTATGTAAATTTTATTGCCGTACGAAAATACAATTTTCTCGATTCGTTTTTTTGTTTTGTTTTGTACTGTTTTGTGTACAAAATCTTTGCTGTAACGACACTTAATCAGTTCGCCCATGTTACTTGGGTGATTTTCATGATTGCCTTGTTTTGTTTTTGATCACGAATTATCTTTTCAGAAAAAATGCAAAATCTACGCAAAGCAAATTCGCCAAGGCGAACATCAGAATTAGAAAGTCAGTGGAGGGATTTTCAGCGACGTGAAGAAAAATTCCAGAGACAGATACGGGAGATGCAGCAACGCGAACAGGATTTGCAAAGGAAACTCAGAGTGGTTAAAGAACGGTATCAGGACTCTCAAAGCCATCTAACGGATATTGAGCAACATGAACAAAATATGCAGCGGCTATTGAGAGAGCTTCAGGAACGAGAAAAAAATTCTCAAAGGCAACTGATGGAGTTTCAACAACGCGAACAAAATATGCAGCGGTTGCTGAGAGAGTTTCAGGAAAGAGAAAAAATTTCTCAAAGGCAGCTGAGGGAGTTTCAACGACGTGAAGAAAATTCTCAGAGGCAGCTGACGGAGTTTCAGCAACGTGAAGAAAATTCCCAGAGGCAGCTGGTGGAGTTGCAGCGGAAACTGAGGGAGATAGGACAGCAGTTGACCAATTGCCGAGGACAAGTTTCTGAACTACAGTTAAGTCTTTCAACAGCACAGGAAACAATAAATCAATTGCGGAACCAAGAAACACGTGACTGGGTTATTCCCCGGGACGAAATTCAAATCACAGAGAAATACCTTGGGAGGGGAGGATGGGGAATTGTCAATGAGGGAACGTATTGTGGCTGTACTGTAGCAGTGAAACAGATCCATGAGTTGATTCTTTCTCCTCATAACATGAACCTGTTTGAAAGAGAAATGAATATCGCTTCTAAATGCCGCCATCCTCACTTACTACAGTTCATCGGCGCCACGAAAGATGAGGGAACTCCTCTTTTTGTGACTGAGCTGATGGAGAAAAGTCTTCGCACTTTGTTGGAGCAGCGGCAACTCTCCGAGACAGAAATAGCAGTTATTTCTCTGGATGTAGCACGTGCCCTGAACTACCTTCATCGAAAGAAACCAGAGCCTATCATTCACCGTGACGTCAGCAGTGCGAATGTGTTGCTATGGCGACAGGGTGACCAATGGAGAGGCAAAGTGTCAGATTATGGCACTGCTAATTTCATGCAGCAGACCATGACGGTGGCTCCTGGAGCTATGATTTACAGCGCACCTGAAGCACTTACATCAAACCAAACAGTCAAGGTAAGTTTTAGTCACTGTTCAAGGCTGTTCACGGCTGTTAACATTAACATAAGAATTAAGTGACCCTTACCCATGCATCGTATCATGCATCGTGGCCTTTTAATGGTACAGTGTTATGTTTTGTTGTTTTTTTCAAGCGGAGTAGAAAACTGTTGTGCCTGTTTAGCCTCTTGAGTTATGCAACGGACAATCTTATTGCAAAGTGTCTTGTTGAATTTCTCGTTTTATAAGATACATGTATATCTGTTCAAAATTAGTCAAATATCTGCCATTTTTGGCGGTGATTTTGCGACAACGCGCATATTTAGCTCATTGTTTAAAATTAACCAAATCCATCGGTGTGCACCGAAATCTGGTCTTAATTGTGCTCTTTAATGGGGAAATTTCAATCATCCCTTCTATGAGCTCCCTCGGGCTCTGACCGCACTTTCGCGCGCTCGAATTCTCCCCCCTCCCTACCCTTGTATGTTATCAGTCAACCTCATTTAGACCATTTCATTAGTGAATTGGTTCTGGTGCAGCTTTAACACGTTTAGTCACCACAACATGTAGATCATGATATAAATAACGACACGCCTAAAAGTTGTCCCCGTAAGAATTCATTGGTGTATACAGGCATAAAATACCTTTTGATAAAGGTTGGAAAAATGTTATTTTAAAAGGGTTTTTTCTCTCTGCCTACGGTCCTGGTATAATCGCTATTTTTGCTCTAAATTCTGCTTATAGATTCTCATATTAAAGAGCTTTTGTACCTCTAAATGGAACTCAGTGTTTATTGGCAACTGTAATTTTCCGGTTTGGGTCTCAGTGGACTCAGTTCAGCTGGGGTGAACAAGTGCCCCGAATAATGTCCCTGCAATCAAAATCTAGCCTGGTTCGCAGACGTAACGTAACCAAACCCCGGTAAGTAACGTCTGCGAAACAGCGCCCAAATTCTCATTTGTTCTAGGCCTCCACCTATACATGTACCAGGATTTTAGTACGCGCCATTGCCATATTTACCAATCATTTTGTAAGGAAATTCGAAACACCTGGAATATCTGACCTGGAATATCCAAATTAATGAAATTCTTAAGAAGGCCTCTAAGAGATTATATTTTTTGGTACAACTTAAGAGAGCTAAGGATACTCGCACTGATTTAGGGCTCTTCTACTGCAATACTGGCCTTTCACTTCAGTTTGCCTAAATGTTTAATTCAAAAATTGGAACGTGATATACAGAAGAGAGCAATGTCCATCATCTGCCTCGGTGTTATTTATCATGAGGCTCTTGTTATTATGAACTTTAAGGATTGAATTAGGAACCCACCATGACGAAATATGTGAGTCACTTTTTCACACAATTGTAAATGACAACAATCACCGCCTTTATAAGTTATTACCTGCACTGCACGAATCTACTAATTCAATAGGCTGATTTGACAACAGAACGGGAACTTCATTTGACGACGGGTAAGCGCGCAGAAAGGTGTAAACTCGACTACCGGTACCCAATTTGCCGCTCTGCCATTGGTCAATCCAGTTGTTTGATTTGCGCGCGCAGTAGTCAACAGACGTTCCCGTTCTGATGCTAAATCAGCCTATTAAGGCGCGCGCGACGTTTTAACATGCCACGTTTTAAAACCGACCGTTTTAAGAATAGCTTTATTATCTTTTCATGTCTTAAAGCAACTAACTTGTAGGTTAGAGTTTTCGAATTTCTCAGCTTGTATTTCGATAACTTTTTTTAGCATCTCATCTCTTGTTAGCATTTTTATTCCTTTCAACTAAGATAGATTAGTTAATGTTTAGATCTGTAATGTAACTTTTGTAACGTAAATAAGTAATTTAGCTTTCGAACTGCTATGTACATTTATGAATTAATAAACTTCAAACTTCATACTTCAAACTTAAAACTTCACACTTCCAGTAATTCGTTGAGTCCAGAGGGGTCCAGAACAAAACTGAATAAGGCCTATCGGCGCCGCTTCGCAGACATTAATAACCGGGGTTAGATTACGTCTGGGACGCATGCAATAAAAACCAAACCTCGTAGGATGTTTACCAACCGCGGCAGGATTAGCTCAGTCGGTAGAGCGCTTGACTGTAGAGCGTAAGGTCGCGAGTTCGATTCCCGGGGTCGGACTAATACTCAGGGTCTTAAAATAACTGAGAATAGGGTCCCGAATAAGTGCTTTCGTGCTAAATACCTTGACACTCAAATGAATTGCATTTTTTTAAACAATATTGACTTCCTCAAATTATGTTTTATCGTTGTTAGGTTGATGTCTACAGCTTTGGTGCTCTTCTTTACGAAATGTGCATCCGACAACTTCCAGATCCTCAGAGGCGTAACGAACAAGTGGTGCTTGTAACGAACAGTGTGTTTCGTGGTCTTGTGCGGCAATGCATGCAAAGAGAGCCTGGGGCGAGACCAACCATGCGGGAGAAAATCGATGAATTGAAGGAATTCTATCCAATTTCTTAATTGTAAAATGAACGGTATGCAATATGATTGAAAATTCGCAGTTTTTAGGAACTTCCTGCTGTTATTCGGGCTCGTAATTTTAAATTACTCGCCTGATTACTCCCTGAATTGTACTCAAGTCAGTCCTATTACCTAAACTAATTTGTAATATTTTTTAGTCTGGTATTCGTAGTAAAGAATACGTAGTAAAGAATACGTAATTACATAACAGTGAGGTATGAATAGTGGAGAATACAATTTACATCCAGACAAAAAGGTTATTGCAGTTAAAAACGTGCAATACTGAAACAAAGTGCTAACTAGGTAGTTGTAAGAAGAATAGAAATTAATAACTTAGGTATCAATATTTGTAGTTAATATTTTAGCGTCAAATTGTTGGCTATTTGTCCTTTTTGCGAAAGACTTGCTTTACATTTTAGTAAATAGGTCGCTGAATAATTGTCTTTTGAAGATTTAAGATTTTTTTGGAATCGTGCGATTTTCGAGTGGCAGAGCCGTGACCAGGTAATGCAACTGGTAATTGTTTTCTGTAACTCATACATGCATGATGATTATATAACCGTAATGCGCATGTCATCGGCTTCCCCCTGGGGGGCGTGGAGTAGGACTCCAGGCCAACTAGCGGGATTCTAAAATGAGCGGTGCAAAGTTAACAATTTCCCCCAGGGGTGGGGGAATTTGGCAAGTGCTTCTCAATGAAAAATCCCCCTGATATCACCAGAAAAAAGTGGGCTTCACTTGATTGATTCACTTTGACTTTAATTATACTAGTACTCTTCTTAGCTGACGAAGTTTGTTGCGCACGACTGCTAACAAGGACCACAAAAGCACCCGTGAAATGAATTTGGCTATAAAGCGACAAGAAGAATGGGGGAATTCCTTACTCGCGAACTCACGATCGGGCAATGTGATCCCGCCCACGACGCTTTCTTCAGTAGGAACAAGGACAGTAGTGTTTACATTAACAAGTGATATTCGGACTAAAGATCAAGGCAATGCGCGTTCCCGCAAAATTTACTCTCTGTCAGGTAACCTTTCTTGCTTGTTTTTCTGTAATTTGTTATGAGAAGTGACCAGTTCTAACGAAGAATAAGAAGGATAGCCTACAAGGAGAAGGAGAAGGAGAAAGTAGAGATAGAAATTTCAATTATGTATCGTTGATCAATTGGAGCATTTTTTTATGGTAACTTTATGGTAACTGTACTTTCGTCAGTAGAACATGGATGCAGTGACTGAAGCATGTGATTGGAAAAAAAACTCTTGCCTCCAGTACGACCCAACTCCGCATAAAACAATTGACCGGGGAGCTTAAAGTTCAGGCTTATACAGCTATTTCTAGAAAGGTTGTCGGAAAAGCAATGTTCCTGACACTGTAGCTGTTGAACCTACTTTTGTTGCCTTCCTCTTCAGCACTCGCAAACATATGTCCATGGCCTCTCGTGCCATTCTTTCAAATTTCTTTGAAGAACAGCGAACTCAAAACCGCCCATAATACCTTTCGGGATTGTCGCGTGCATTTTTTCCGACAACCTTTTTCGAATTAGCTGTATACTTATGGCATTCTGTTGTCAACAAAGTTTTCTGCTGACGTGTTTATAGTCTGGCGGCTTAGCTAGAAATTTTAACTGAATTGTGCACTTTTTAGATACAAGCATGAAATTTGGCACACTGATAGTAGTCACCAATACAAGCAATTTCAGATATAGTGCCAAGCCGGAATTACGTCGGTTTCCATAGAAACCGCAATTTATTAAAATTCATAAAAAGTTAATAAATTCAATTCATTTAAATTATTTGTCCTAGTTTATCAAGACATAGTATCATCAGTCAACCAACCTGTTTACCACGTACATCTTCTTTATAACACGCTATTGCACCTCAACTATGCGATGCCATGGCAACGGTAAACAAAGGAAAACTAAAAATACAACGACTGAATAAAATTAGTGTGCCTTAAGTTGGTTTGATCGTTATATTTATTACAACTTGTATCTTTGGACATAGCTTCATTACCTAATTGATTTCACATTTTCGTTACGGAATAAACTTGAGGTGATTCTCTAGTTTTGCCGCTGTACATCCCTCATTGCGTATAACAAGATGACCGCCCCATGAAAAAGAGCTTTGGCAGAAACATGATTAAATTGACGTCGATCGAAGAGAAAAGTCATTGGAATTTTCCATAGCAGTTTTTTTCTGGCTGAGATGAGTCTCAAAGTGTTGGAAATGTGCCTTATGTAAGCGGTAAGCGTGTTGCTGAGTTAAACCTGAGCTACTTCCTCACCGACGCCTTCGATAGAGGATGTTGTGCTGAACCACTTTCATGAAATTATGTCCTAATTACCTTATCTCGATGTAAATTCCATTTTGAAAATCGAATTTTTCGATTTTTCGATGCTTTCTTCCACCTTCCACGTCCATGCCGCTTTGAAACTCGTCCCAATGTTTTCTTTTCTTTTTTTTAATGTAATTTAATAACGTCTTTATTTAAAGTCTTAATTGTCCTGCCTAGATTAGCATTAGCGCTATTTGCAGACATAAAGTATTGAAACGTTATATT